TCGTGTTGTCACTAGGACGTGGGGAGGGCAGTGGGTTCAAAGGCTTGTTTAGTTCCCGTCTTGAACGCACTTGAAAACTCTAGTTGGTACCGTCCGGATGCGCCTCTGGGATCAGGAAACTTCGCGTTTTGTTATTCCCTACTCGAGAGGCCTCACTCTGCCCCTTTCTGTAAGTTCCTGGAATCACACGTTTTTGTCCAGATTTTTTAATTCAAGGCGTAGCTCGGCTATTGTTCCTTTCTTGCACATTGTGGTCCTTAGTTCCGAAGCGGCTTACTTGCAACGAGTTAAAAGAGAGATATCGTCTTTGTTAATCCATATTGTTTTTCTCATGACTTAATGTTGTTCACTTGCCGAGAAAATTAATTACAGCGGCTTATTTTTCACGTTTTTTTTTCATCAGCAAAAGCCATCTATTTTCTCGCCATCCGCTGATGATCGTTTTTCGACACTTATAAAAATGACGTGTTCGCGGCTGTTTCTTTCTGTTCTGCCGATCGATTTTGTAATTTTCTGTAGGGAAAGTGTTCGGGTATGTGGACGTCTTCGTAATAGATCCAAAATAGCGCTTCAATCAATAATGACTACAGTATACTGCCAACCAGCCAGCACCTCCAATTCTTATGTAACGGTAAGTATGTCTAAAGTTTTTCTATGCTCTAGATTGATTCTGATGTTCGAATATTGCGACTACAATGTATAAGTGATGAAGGAATATTGGATATGGATGATAGGATCATAGATGTGTTTGATGATGTTCGAGATCAGGTAAGGTAAGCCGACGACATCAGGCACCTATACTACTTATCCCGGAGATGGAGAGGGCGTGGCTGCGAACTTTATTCGAACGTGACGCAAGATGCGGTGGTCTTGGGGTGTTTCCCTCTGGAACAACTGCCTACCTTGTTGTGCTGAAGAAAGGCTTAATTACAAATTGTCCCTCACGAAAATGTCCTACCACAAGCGCGCTGCTGCCAAGTGTGGAAGAAGTACGCAACCACGCCCACTCCATCTCCAGGATATAGACTGTATGTGTTTCTCGAGGACCGTACACTAGACAGTAGAGTCGGAAGCTGGAAATGGGAGGTCTCCGCTGATTTTTCCTTTTTACATTCGTCTCGTTTGATTTGCTCGCTTTTATCAGTAGGCACGGACGAAGAGCGTATGGGCGGGGTATCCGCTTGGCCAAGCTGGGCCAAGCGATGCTCCCGCGGCCCGGTTGGGTGTCTCACTAAGGGCACAGCATCCCTGTGAGAAGCACAAGTGAGGAGATCG